GGAAATACTAAGAAACTCAGTGAGTCGAATCAGTCGATATTCTGGAGACTTGAGGGAGAAATACTAAGAAACTCAGTAAGTCGATAAGTCGATATTCTGGAGACTTGAGGGAGAAATACTAAGAAACTCAGTGAGTCGATAAGTCGATATTCTGGGGACTTGAGGGAGAAATACTAAGAAACTCAGTCGAGTGAGTCGATAAGTCGATATTCTGGGGACTTGAGGGAAATACTGAGAAACTCAGTGAGTCGATAAGTCGATATTCTGGGGACTTGAGGGAAAAGCAGAAAAACTCAGAGAGTGGTTGGCGAAAATAGATTGACCTAAAAAAGCTATTTGCGAGTAGGCCTTGTAGCCAATCGCGAGCGCAAAGCATGCATAGATTATCTATTTTAAGTCGTATCCAAAGATGCCTTGCGGTCGCGACTCGAGCCCATGTTCCCGCTAATCTAAAACCTGGAGCAGAAAAATGGCAAACGAAAACTTTAACGAAATGGTTTTTACGGAAGATCTGATACAAGATCAGTAAAGCTAATATTCGCTTTTAAATACGAGTTTTCATTTCTCATTGCACAATCATTAGACCTGTTTATTGCTAATTATCGTTACTATAACACAATTTTTGCGATGGCAACCGAGTCATATTGGTACAGTCAAAGTGTCGTAGTTTGATGAGAATAGTAAAGTTTTTWAAAATACATCGTGGTCTGTCTTCAACTGGCTCTTGTGTTGTCATCATGTTTCCCGATAACTTATCTCTTTCTTTATTCGTTTTATGATGTATGCTAATCCAAGAGCTGAGAATATGGAGTACTGTACTTCGTATTCTCTTAGGTAATCTTATGGACCTAAAAGGGAATTCCTTGATTTTTTTAATCAAACCAAACAAACAAACAGATAAGATCAAATAAACAAACGAACGAACGTTCAAACGATCAAACACAAGAACATCAAACGAGCAAAATAATAACAAACAGATTAGCAAGATATCGTAAGACGCGCAGCTAAAACAGAACTCCAATATTACCAAATATTTCTGTGGTCACGCAATTGTTTCATATACATAATGAGTTATAACTTAACTCTCTCTCTCTCTTTTTCTTGTCAAGCTCATCAAACTAGATACACAAAGAAATTATGAAAACATCAAATATATTGATGTTACCGAGCCCAAAGTCATTATTACAAGATCCCACTGAAAAAAATGATGATGCGTCATATATAGTTTTGACTGACCGCGAGTTTTAACAGATATTTTTTTTTTAGTGTATATAATGATTCTCTGAGACTGGTGCAGAGAAGATAGGATGGAACAGAAATGAAAGCATTTACAATTATGAAAATAAAAATTACTCATATTGGCTATTCGTTTTATTCGATTTAAGTTGTATTACTTATTCTGCAACTACGATTTGCAGAGGTAGATTATTCGCAGGAAAGGGAAAAAGAGCAAGGAAGCTTTCGTATTTTCATTGGATATGAAATGTTGGATATTTATTTACAGGGCAATTTGAATAAAACCCCGCAGAGAAAGTAGTTTTTCGTCTCGTTCATCGGTCAATTATAATAATTTACGATTCCTAGCAATATTACCAGCTACATTTGCAAACATTGTCAATGAATATGAATTCGTTCGCTTATTTGAGCAAATATTTGATGAGCTTTTAGTGGTTATTATCTGTGTTATTGCCTTTCTTGAGTTAACGTCCCTCAAATATCTCAGAAGACGTTTTTAGTCCTCAAAAACATGTGTGTTAAGAATATATACATTTATTTCTACCAATAAAAACAACATTTTAAATAAAATAATATAATGCTGATCGTTAATGCTCTTATCTGGTACGACTTGCAAACAAATTTTCAACGGCTCTTTTGTCGGAATTGAAAGCGGTATTTCATATATAAATATATCAATGCATTTCTGTATTTTTGTTAATCATTTAAGTTTCCTTTTCTTTCCCCGTTAAGGTGGAACTTTCCAATACTCAATGAGACAATAGATTGGGCCTCTTATTTGGAATACTAACAAATCATTCGCTAAAATGTCAATGTTGTTTTTAGAAAAAAAGATTGTATTTAAAAAATAACGAGACATACTTTGAAACTATCCAAGTTCAGTACAGAAAGGTGTTTGAAATATAAAATATAGTCTACTTTCAGACTAATTTTACACAATAATTGTCAACCCTGARGCATTATGGCTTCTTTTGTCCCCAAGACGTAAGTTTGTAATTAGGCACTCTGCGCATTAAGGAATTGAATCATTTTCAAGACGCTACACACGAAATTTCAATTGTAAATATCCGTGCTTTGGTCACATATAAATCGATATCAAACTCATAACTTCAATGCCTGTTTTTTTTATTTAAAAAATTTAGAGAAGTCAAAGGAGTACTCTTAAAAATATTTTTTTTTGAATGAGAAAGGAAGATGATACTTACCGAAATAGCGAGGTGTTTTGAACTTTATAACGGGAAAATGAAGTTGGGGGAGTTTGTTTTTTTCTCCTTTGTGAACCTGCCTTGAATGTTAGCTTGTATCCACGGGTTTTTCTTTGGTATTACATCCTATTCACAGTGAAAATAGATCTCATGAAGCAAGGTTTTCTGTATCATGTTCTATCGTGTAGAAATTATAATTATTGCATGGGCAGGTGGGGATATATTTTGTTGACACTAAATGACGCATGCGCAGGAAGACACGAAATAAAATATTAATATTGTGGGCTTCAGTGAAAAAAGATCGGATACACTGTTGACAATGGAGGTGAAAAATCCGATACGATTGATCGTGGAACAATCCTATTACTTTGGGGGTTAAAACCTATCTTAAATTCTCGATTTTCCAGGGTACTTTTTGGGGTGTTTAATTTCTAAATATCTCGAAAATGATTCAAATATTTTGCCTCTTTTTTAGAAAACAGACGATTAAATCCTGAAAGATAAAACGTGCGTGAAAATGCCTTTTACGACATAAGATTTAAGTTGCAATATAAATTTGTCCTTGAAAATATAAGATTCCTTGCTACAATGAATATCTATCAATTAAAAGTGTGAATATTCTCAAATTGCAAACAGACTTAAATCTAGATCTCACGACAAAGAAAAGTTCTAAGGGTAAAGAATATGGTATTATTTTTTGTCATACTGGATTAGCAGCTTGATTCTTTTATACGTTCAGCCGTTAATTAGATTTAACTTCGGAAAGACTTTGTAATTTTTTAATATCCGCTTCAACCACCCGTAACACCGGATTTTGTTTCACCAGGACAGAAGCTTTGACGGTATTATCAAAGTTTAAAGCTGTGTGCTTTAAAAAATAACATAGATGTCCTCCTAAATTGGTCCTACCAGAGCGGCAAGAATCCTGTCTTATTTAAGCGATTTTTATCGATCCATTATATATTGCTATTCGTAGCCATAATAAAAAATCATTTTATGAGCCAAAAAAACGTATGTAATTATTGTCTCTTGAAAAATTGATTTTTAACGATCTAAAGCAGTTTTCAAAGCAAATTTCATATTTCCTAAACTAACATTCGATTTAAAGAGCAAGATTTGCAACGTTTGCGTCGTCAATTCACAGAAATCTTTTGTCTCGTTTTTGCGCGGGAAAAAAAACGTCGCGTCTAGCGGTTTTGCAGAATTCCTCATTTTGGCGCTAAAATTTTTGTTGTTAATCAATTCGTAAAATTGGCGCCAACATTATTTCACAATCCTTGCTCGTTATCTTGTACTATTGGCTTAAGTACTATTAATCACGGTGCATAGCCAAACTTGTTTGTGTTATTATATTCGATGGATGAATTCTAAAACGTAAAACACGCTAAAAGATACTAGGAGTGCGATTTCTCTTTATAAAGAGTAAAACTAATGGTTTTCATTCATTTTTCATTACTTTAAAATACGTCATTTATTCGGCGTGTGGTGTTCATATTTCATGTAACGAATATACGCCATTTTGGCGCCAAAATTTCGCAAACTCAGTGTGATTTCAGCCGCGCGCTGTCTCCAATCAGGTTTTTGGCGCCAAAACACATTTAATCTTTTATAACTTCTTTCCTTGCCTTGCCTGATTAAGCAAAAACAAAAAAATATAATAACCATAAGTAATCATTTCAAAATTCTGAAAGAAATGATAAAAAATATATGAACGTGCCATGTTTGAAAATCGAATCAAATAATACAAGCACTGTGATTGGACAATATTTTATGACGTCATCACAAGTGGTAAGCGAAAGCTTTGACACGATTTAAGCCTTTTTAACGAAAATGTCGAGTAAGAGTAATTGTATTTCTATTCGGCTAAGGAATTATTTCTTACGCTTAGCTAACCAAAAAATTATTATTATTATTATCATTATTAATAGTTAATTGAATTCTATTATTTAAAATATATTATTATAATGGCATTGACAGTATGAACTTTAAATCCTATAGTTTTTCATTTTATTTTTGTTTATCATTATCTTAAAATATTAAGCATTGGAACTTTAGTAGCTTTGGAGCGAGTGTATTTCTATTAAGACATGCATTGACTATTAAGGTTTATTTAAATAAAGTATCATTATTATGGCAAGTTTTATTTGTCTGTATATATCACGTTTACATTGACCAGCGGACTAAGTCTAGGCTGGTTAAGTTCATCATTTTTTTTCAATCCTTTCTTCAGCTTATGCATATTCATAGAACKTCTTGACTATATTAACGTTCTGGCTTAAAATCCATTTCTGATATCGTTCTATAAGAAAGTTCACTTCCCTGTCTGTATTTGTAATTGTTCTTAGGTCTTTTTTAGCTGTTCGTGATGTCCTGCGAGAAAGTCAAACCCTATGTTAATCATTTCGTTCTAACGCGGTGTCGTTCATCATTCGTTGTTTCAATTCTCTGTCGAGCTTTGTTTGATTTCGAATAAGTTGCGTGTTTGTAGTCTTCTTTGGTGGCATGTTGGAGGTGACTAGGACCAGAATAATTGTTACGAGACGCATTATTTTAGCGTTTTCCCAGTTCTTTAGCGGGAGCGTCAGGACTTGCGTCCGTTCGCTTCAGATTTTTATTATTATCATTATTATTATCATTATTATTATTATTGCCATTATTATTATTGTCATTATTATTATTCGTGGATATTTTTCCACTTCAAGGCATGATGAATGCCTACGTTATTTTGACTGTTATTTTTAGTGCAGTGATGCACATCCCAAAGTTGGGAAAAAATACTGGAAAAAGAAAAAAAAAAAACATTTCAAGCAAGTTCAGTACAAACTAGAGCAAACAGACCAATCCATCTTCCAAAAATGAGAGACAGATTGGCATAGATGAGGAAATGACATCCATATCCTTTATTTTTTAAAGTCTCGCGTCAATAGTTTCTGAAACACTTTATTCTATCACCGTCATGGCCTATAATCTTTGAAGTGGAAAAATGATATCCTGCTTCCACAACAAATGACAATCACTAACCGATTTTTTCAAATTTCACGCTTGGGATATACTCAAAACAGCTAGATATGTAAAGAAATTACTGAAGCACTTCAATTAAATTAAAGAAATTGAAACAAAGAAAAAGATAATATTGAAATATTCGAATCGTTGGCTTGACTGATTCACAATGCTACTCGTTCTGGCTGATTTTTCCTGTAGTGTTATTAACTTTCTATAACTCAGTGATTTCATTAAACAGAGTTCTAAAGACGAGATTGGATAAAATCAAAACATGTGATCTTGGTTTTTTTTAAAATAAGATATTGTTTCACTGATCTGATGTGATTTATATGTCATAAATAAGATGCTTTAACATCTCTTTGACGACACCGTACAAGATGAAGAGCACTATCTTGGCACTTGTAGTTCTCTTTCTAAGCATTTTTTCTGCCGAAGGCGTGGGAAAAAACGTCAGGAAAATCCAGAACAAACACGGCTGCCTTGTGCAGAATTTCTATCATGGCGGACCTAATAACTTCTTAGTCATGAAATACCTCCAAATGATGAACAAAAAGTTGAACTACTTGATGAAAAGAGTCAAATCATGTGAAGGAGGAGGAGAAGGAGGAAATAACTGCAAGAAAGGTAAACACAATCGAGTATTTTGCAAATTCAATCTTAGACCTAAAATTGAGTATCCATTTTCGGCAATAAATAATTCTCGACAAAACTTTTTTCTCTCGACAAAACTGCTTGCTTGCACGAGCGCTTTTATCTAACTGCTCAGAAAATAGAAAAAATATACGCAGTGTGGAGTATGTTTACGGAGCTTTGGAATATTCGTTGTAAAACTCAACATTATTATGTTTGCTTCTTGATACACGGATCGCCTCTCGCCATAAAGCATACGAACACCGGTTTTGTAGACAAAAAAGGTCAAAATTTAATTGTAAAATGGTTTATGGTTTTTGACGTAAAGCATCGTTTACCTCTGCGAGTTTTTAAACCAAAACAAGAATAAAATGATTCCCATCACTCTATATTTATAATAAAAAGGGCTAGGGTTTTAGAACTGCACTCGAGTATATCAAGAGGGGTTTAAAGTTCTTTAAGAATAAATTGCATCCGCGCCCATCATTACATTTGCGCATGACCATATTTGGTTCGCTCCTTATTGATGAGGGCGGAGTTTTACATATTGCATTGGCATCTGTCTGATTTTTTACCGTTTACTGACAGATCGTATTAAGGTCACAGTCAGATGTTTCGTTAGTGCTATGTCAGTGATGCATGTGTATACTATATATACATGAAAACCTGTTTTAGAACTGCAAAAATTTGCACAAATTAGTAAGTTCTGTAGACCTCAGCAGACTGTAGACCAAATCTTTTCACTACTTAGTACAATTTTGTTAGTTAACATTTTCACGGATATATCGTATGCACTCTATCTTACTTTTTTTTCGAACCCTGGCGGCCTCTGGGCTGATTGATTTGAACACTCGAAGATAAATTCTATATCTTCGCGCATATAATAATAATAATGATAACTTTATTACTGTCTCTATATCTTCTAGACGGGCACAAGTGCCCTACTAATCGGGGAGACCATCTATTATATATCATATTATATATTATATATGTAGTATACTCTATTTCATTCGCTATTTGATTTGAGTGATAAAAAAATCCGACTTGTAATCAACCGACGCGCTCCCCGCATTGTGGTTTTCTGAGTCAAGGTTATTATATAGTTCTATTGTTAGACGCGATGTGATTGGTTAAAACAAGTATCAAGCAATATCGATCAGTATATAAGAAACGACATGATTGGCTAATACGAGTATCACACAATATCGGTTACTATATAAGACACAACACGATTGGCTAATACTAGTATACAGTACTGTATAATATAGATCACTACCTTAATTGTACCCACTAGTGCAAAGTTTTGTAGGTCTACGGTCTACTGAGGTCTACTGAACTTAGAGTGATACCATATATCTGTGAAAAAGTTAACTAACAAAATGGTCTCCCCGATTAGCAAGTCATGCGTGCCAAGCTAGAACCTTGAGACTGTAATAAAGTTTCTTATTGTTATTAATGCATACACGCAGCAGCAGGTCTATAATTGGCTACACTCTCTTGAGTACAAGTGTTAATTTATCATGTTTTCCTTTTACTTCTAGTTCCCAAGAACTGTGCTGAGGTCCTCAAGTGTGGCGGCAAAAAGAGCGGTATTTACAAAATCAAGCCTGATAGCAAAGCAGCATTTAAGGTATCCATTTTTTATAGCAGTTTTCGACTACTTCTTGCAACATTGGCTAATTCATAGATAAAAAGATAAGATAAGACAAGATAAAAAAAGATACTTAAATAAAAAAACTAAAAAAAAAAAACTAAAAAAAAAAAAAAACCTTTTATATTTTATATTATATTTTACTTTTACATTTTATATTTTATTTTTAAAAATACTTTTATATTTTGAATAAATGGCATACAATAAACCATTTTGTTAGTAGACTTTTTCACGGATATATGGTATGCATTCTAAGTTCAAATTAGTGAAAAGATTTGTAGTTTACGATCTACTGAGGTCTACTGAACTTACTAATTCGTGCAGTTCTTTAAAAGGTTTTCACATATATATTAGAGTTTTAGATTAACTTTTTTTCTCCCCGCAAACGGCAAACGTGACCACGTTTTCATCGTTTTCCTGTACTTTACTTTACCTTTTACAAACCTTCTCACCAAAGACAAATATTCTTTTGTTTTTCTACTACTTGGACTTTTTTGCGATACTTTTTAAGCTATTTAGAATAATTTTTAAATGGTCAACTGACATTTCACGTTTGACGTGAACGTAAATCTAAAACTCTCTATTATATAGTATACACATCACTGACATAGCACTAACGAAACATTTGATTGTGACCTTAATACGATCTGTCAGTAAACGGTAAAAAAATCTGACAGACGTCAAAGCAATATGTAAAACTCCGCCCTCATCAATAAGGAACGAACCAAATATGGTCATGCGCAAATGTAACGATGGGCGTGGATGCAATTTACAATAAACTTCGATATCCGGCACCAACTCTTGTGTATGCTTCTCTTACTCTTTCTTTCTTTCAGGTTTACTGCGACCAGAAAACTAACGGCGGTGGATGGGTAGTAATACAGAAACGCAAAGATGGTTCAGTAAACTTCTTTCGAGGCTGGACTGACTACAAGAATGGTTTTGGTGCCCTCAAAGGCGAGTTCTGGTTGGGATTGGATAAAATCTTCCGACTGACTCACCAGACTCGTAACCGTCTTCGTGTAGAGCTGGAAGACACGAAGGGAAACACGGCTTACGCTGAGTACTCATTCTTTGCTGTCTCGAGCGAGCCAAACAAATACCGCTTGAGTCTTGGAACTTACTCAGGTAATGGCAAAACGTGTGAATATAAATATAGGCTCCCTTTCCTAATATCCTAGAAATGTCAGGTGAATTAGCCAACCACAAATGACCAATTAAGGGCTACAATCTACTCAAACCAAACCAACAACGCATCTACATATTGTTGAACCCTGAAACAACCTCTGGGCTGATCTAAGTCAGGGCATGGCTAACTCACAGATCAAACCCTGAAACAACCTCTGGGCTGATGTAAGTCAGGACACGGCTAACTCACAGATCAAACCCTGAAACAACCTCTGGGCTGATCTAAGTCAGGGCACGGCTAACTCACAGATTGCATTGCAATTGCACAATTTCATGTTTGATATTTCACATCTCTATTTTAATGATTTCCATCAGGTACTGCAGGGGATTCGTTGTCGGGTCACCGTAATGCCCCCTTCAGCACCAAAGATCGTGATAATGACGCACATTCTAGTGGTAATTGTGCAGTAAGTTACAAAGGTGCCTGGTGGTATACTAGCTGTCACGGCTCTAACCTTAACGGCCTGTACCATCACGGGGTGCACAAGTCCTATGCTGACGGTGTTAACTGGAAAACATGGAAAGGATATTACTTCTCTGCTAAAAGAGCAGAGATGAAGATAAGACCAGCGTGAGTTGCCTAGCAACCAGTGTGAGTTACCTAGCAACCAATGAATTGCCTAGCAACCAGTGGGAGATGCATAGCAACCAGTGTTCACATTTAGTACAGGGTGTAATAGTTAACTATACTCCACTAAGAGTTAAAGCCAAGATAAGTAAATGTTGCCTAGCAACCACTGCCACTGCTCACATTTTATGGGGTTCCTGTGGTGTAATTAATACTATTCCTGGAGACTAGTTTTTCGTGTAACGGTTTTGTAAATGAATAAACTTTTGCATTTTGATATAATCAGATGATATCCAAGCACTAGAATATCGCATAATGATTGCAATCCTTTTAATAAAGCAAATTACAAATTACATTATGGTATCCCTGTGTCTTGAGCCCCGTTTTGATGCCCCAAGATGCAACCTTTATTTTAGATACAGTTATAAAAAGAATTAATTAAATGGGAATAAAATATTATAGAATATTAATAAAGTTAAATTATGCTCCCTGATAACAAAGAGTATACTACATGTACTTGATTAGCTGACTCACACCTTCCCAGAATCCTAAGAACCCAAGAAGAATGCATGATTCCTGGTCTTGATGAACACTCTCACTTTACACTGAGAAAATAGACAGATAAAGAAAATAATTATCCACATGTTTTTGGTGGGTCATTTATTATCTTGGGGGGGGGGGATGGGGGATAGGGGGGCAAAAATGAACTATCATTATTATCTGGGATATGCCTTGCTGTGTAACAACCGTGTTTGTGCTGCAAGCTTTTCAGTCACAGCTTGAAGTTATCCTTCAGCAGCAAATAGACCTATCCCGAATTCGCTTGACTGACCACGAAACAGTGGATTGAAGTTGAGATTGAACTTGGTTCTTTTATTCATCAAGTTCAACCTTGACTTGAAACCATTGTTTCGTGTCCAGTCAAGCAAATTCGGGATAGGTCTATTGTACTACATTTATGAACTCTTAGCTTTTGCTGTCTACAGAATCATCAGTCATATGGTTGACTGATGATTCATAAACTTACTAGAATGCCAAGTTCAAGCACTTGTCTAACATATCAAAAAAAAAACACGTCCTTTTTTCACAAGGGTAGCACTTAATAGCCAGTGGCTAACAAACCTGTGGCCCTCATTCCATGATCGAATTGGAATTTAGGAGTTGATTTTTGTGGAGGAAGGAAAACCGGAGAACCCGGAAAACCCTCGAAGCACAGGAGAGAACCAACAAACAACTCTACTCATATACAACACCGAACCCGGCGGGACTTGAACTCAGGTCGCATTGATGAGAGGCGAGCGCTCACACCGCTATGCCACCAGTGCTTCCCTAATGTATCAAGTGTATGCCTCTTACCATGGAAGTACAGCTGTACTATCCCTGCAGCGCAAGGATGTCAGCCATTGCATCGCAGTAGAAGCGCTGCACATCTTGATTCAGTATCCAGTTTGAAGCATGTAGTTCCAGAAGCTCAATAAGCATACATCTTGTCTCAGGGTTTGATTGCTCGCTTATGATGGAATCTCTTATCTTACACATCAAGAATTCCATTTTAGTCTGAAAGTAAAACAGACAAACTACTAGCAAATATTCTAAGTATTTCTTAATCAACCCTGAGGTTGTTTCAGGGTTCAATCTGTAAGTTAGCCGTGCCCTGACTTAGATCAACCCAGAGGTTGTTTCAGGGTTCAATCTGTAATTTAGCCATACCCTAAATTAGATCAGCCCAGAGGGTGTTTCAGGGCTTGATCTGTAAGGTAGCCATGTCCTGACTTAGATCGGCCCAGAGGTTAAAGAATATTTCCTCTGCTCTCTCCTACCTTGTCAATGGCTTGTAACATTTTCCCAACATTTTTAAAATTTTGGTAAAAACACTCAATTTTGACTCCATCATCAACATTGAGTAATATCTCTCCCATCATCTCGGAGATCGGGCCTGCTAGAGGCTTGAAGGGTTGTCCACTGATCTTCAAGACTCGAAAAATTTCACAAAGTAAAGACAAAAGTCCTGTCCATTCAGAAAGAGAGTCTTTGCTCAGATTCTCTCTGTTCTTGTAATGGTCTTGTGCGCGTTTCAGTAAACAAGATCGAAATTTTCCTCCAATTCCCTCTAGAGAACTCAACTGACTTCCTACTTGTGCTGCAATTTCTGCAGTTTCGTTATCCTTAAAGACATTCTGGTACAAAATCTCGATTATTTGTGAGAAGTTTTCATCAGTTTTGGTGGAATCTTTTGCTTTTTGGACGAGATCTTTTACCTCATCTTGGCTACTTGTCACTTTTAAAACCTTGAATTCTCCACAAAGTTCCTCAAAATCGTAAAGTTTTGGTTCAGGAATTGGTTGTTTGGTTTCTTCGCTTTGTATTTTTGCAGGTTTTAGATCGCCTGATGTTTCTCCGGGCCGAGTTTCAGGTAAAGCAATTCCTCTACCTCTTCCCCTACCACGACCCGCCATTTTGAATGTGTAACTGAATCATACAAGAAAGACATACACGTGCAGTAATAAAAAATCTCTAGGGAGGGGAGGGATAAATAGCAAATTTAACAATAAATATTTTTTAATCTTAGAATTTAGACAGCTAATATAAAATGTCACAAAAGAAAACTTCTATTATCCTATATTGATAAAATATTGGTAACTTTAAAGTATAAGATATTTTTATTATATTTAAGAAGCATTCATAAAAATTTGTAGCCACTTAACCTACCCCTCCCATAGTACTTTTTCTTGCTATCCCATACTACTTTGCAATCATATCAAAATCCAAGATGGCGCTCGAAGTGGAGTCAGCAGAGTGAGTTAAAAACAATCCTTCGTAACTCTTTTAAAATCGGACTTACATAACGAAATACTACTAATCTTAATTATTTAGTCTAGGATAAATCTACTCCTGGAGTTGCAAAATCATCAGAGCTTTTATTCTTGTATTTTTTGAGCTGTTTTGTTTACAGTTGTCAACTATTTTTGTTGAAATGTTAAAGAGTAGTTTTGAGTTACTCTTTATAGTCTAATACGAATACCTTGTTTGATCTTTAGAAAGGGTCTCCGGCTTATGCCTTACCTTTCTACATAATGATGATATCAGAAAACCTTTTGAAAACATAGTCTTACATATATTACAATATACGGTATCACATTGATAACTTGTTAACTTTTCTAAAGATTGTTCGATATTCTTATCATATTTATTGCAGTGTTATCAGGCTTATTCAACAATTCTTGAAAGAAAACAGCTTACAGAGAACTCTTGCAACATTACAGGTAACAAATTTGAGATACCATTTGCTCAAATTGCATACAGCTTTTGTTAGACTTCATAGTATACTATGTCTTTCTTCTTTATTTGCAGGAAGAGACAGGCGTCACGTTGAACACAGTAGACAGTGTCGAGAGCTTTATTACTGAAATTAATAGCGGGCACTGGGATACAGTACTGACAGCAATACAGTCACTGAAGTTACCCGACAAGACCTTAATTGATCTTTATGAACAGGTACGTGTGTTTATTAAATTGGTTCACAGGAGTCATGCTGCAGGTCATGAACAATGTAACATTTTGCCTTAATTGAGGAGATTTTATTTTCCAAAGGTGAATATTTCTGTTGTTCTGTACTACGACATGGCAGTCATTAGTTCAACACAGCTTAGATGCAGTAATTGATTCCAAAATTTAAAATATTGAATATGTAGTCTGATGCATATCTCTGTACTGTGGAATTTGTAAAGCTTGGGACAATAAAGCGAAATGTTATCTGGCTGCTAATAATATTTTGAATTTATATCATATACTGTACATTTGTAAGGTCAAAGTGTTTCCTTACTCTTACTCTTTGGAAACTTGTATTACGCTCTCCGATGAAAGGAATTGGGTTAGAATGTAAATCTTAAAAATAAAAACATAGTTAAACATTAGCGTACATTGATGCCAAGTTAATATACACTATGTTTCAAATACATTCATTTTAGATAGTACTTGAGTTAATAGAGCTCCGAGAGCTTGGAGCAGCTCGTTCACTCCTTCGACAGACAGATCCGATGATAATGCTGAAGGCACAACAGGCTGATCGATATTTACATCTTGAAAACATGTTGGCGAAGTCATACTTTGACAGTAGAGAGGTAAGACTCGTTTTGTATATGAAGTATTATCTTTAGACCTTAATAACATGGCAACATGTTTATTCCAATCAGAATGGAAACCTTTGTTTATCTCCATGTAAATTTATCCTGAAGCACATGAATTCGATGCTATGCAGGGTGAAATCTATTTTAGTCAACGTGGCAGGGGCGTATCCAGGATTTGTAATTGGGGGGTCCTTACATACCAAATTGTTACCATGACGTCAATATGACATCATAGCAATCTATTGTTTTGACGAAAAAGAATCATGGTCGACAGAGGGGAACATAACAGGCTCCGAGAAGCGAGAAAACTGAATTTCTTAACTGCTTAAGTTAAGTCTAAACAAATCTTCACACACTRCATCAACAGGCGGTTAGATTTTTTTGGCTTTGAAAAGGGGGGGGTCACGGGCACCCTGTGACCCCCTTCTGGATACGCCATTGTCTGGCTAGCATGTAATGAAGGTCCATATCATTGTGTATAAACTACATGTATGCCTTGTCTGTCCATCTTTCTGTTTTTATGTGTTTTTCAGTTTGTCAGTCTATCTTTCTGTCCGTCTGTCCATTTGTCTGTCCGTGGGTCCACTTGTCTGTCCATCAGTCATTCATTGACAGTTATTGACATGTAGTTGTTTCTCATAGGCTTATCCTGAAGGTGGCAGTAAAGAAAAGCGAAGAGCAGCAATAGCACAAGGTACAACCAATGTTTGGATGTTATAAATAATAATAAATAAATGATAAATTATAATAATGCAAATTTTGAAATAAGAAAACAGCAGCATAGTCTTGGGCTACCTGTGGTTATTATTTCCACAGGAATCCCAATAACAGTATATTTACTTGTCTTTCTTGTGGATGGTTATTCCAGCTCTTTCAGGTGAAGTGTCTGTCGTTCCACCTTCACGTCTAATGGCACTGTTAGGCCAGGCTTTGAAGTGGCAGCAATACCAAGGCTTGCTTCCCCCTGGAACGACGATTGACTTGTTTCGAGGGAAAGCTGCCGTAAGAGATGAGGAAGAAGAAAAATATCCTACACAGTTGAACAAAATTATCAAGGTATATAATATGTCATATATATGAATTAACTAACAGCCTTCTCTACCCTGAATTATTCATGCCCTGACTTAGATCAGCCCAGAGGGTGTTTCAGGGTTCGATCTGTGAGTTAGCCATGCTCTGACTCAGATCAGCCCAGAGGGTGTTTCAGGGTTTGATCTGTGAGTTAGCCATGGCCTGACTTAGATCAGCCCAGAGGTTGTTTCAAGGTTCAATCTATGAGTTAGCCATGCCCTGACTTAGATCAGCCCAGAGGTTGTTTCAGGATATCTTCATTATAATTTAAGGTTTTTTATTCTCTTTTGTATTCTCTCCAATCTGCCAATCACAGTTTGGAAGCAAGTCTCATCCAGAGTGCGCAAAATTCTCCCCCGATGGACAGTACCTAGTGACCGGCAGTGTTGATGGATTCATTGAAGTATGGAACTTTACGACAGGGAAGATTAGAAAAGATCTAAAATACCAAGCACAGGAGAACTTCATGTTAATGGAACAAAGTGTACTGTGTTTGTGTTTTAGTAGAGATAGCGAGATGTTGGCAACAGGGGGACAAGACGGCAAAATCAAGGTATTGTCTGTTTTAAAGTGTATATC